TTTCTGCTAATGGTAGCCAGAAGATTGCCGGTGTCTCGTTTGAATAGCCCGGTAGACTGAGGCAGCTTGGAGATGACGCCGACGTAGCCAAGTCGAAGAGGGTACTGCTTATCGAGCAGAATGGCAGCCCCTTTTTCCGCGTCGACCAGATCCATCTTGGTAATGACGCCAATTGTGCGCTCTCCCCTCGGGTCGACCCTACGACTGGCCTGCAGGGCTGTCGAGTTCGCAAGATCAACATCGGCGGCAGAGATGGCAAGGATGATATTGGGACCCCGGATGTACTTGTCGCAGAGCTCCGAGATCTTGCGCTTCAGCTCCCGGGGCTGGTTCTCCCCAGCAACCTGAATATAGCCGGGAAGGTCGATCAAAGACAGGTCAGGTACCCTTGGGGAGTGGATGACGAGGTGGATCGGGTCATCTGAGACACACTCGGATTCAGGAACCGACATGTTGAGTTCGGTGAGGTTCTTCTGGACCAAGGAGAAGTCGGTGATCCTGTGGAGACCGAGATCGGGGAACTCAGCGTAGTCAGTCCTAGCGCCGGGGTCGTTGACCAGCGTGAGCTCGATCGGTCGACGGGTGATCATGTTGCTCCCCTTGGGCAGGAACTCATGGCCCACGATAGCTTCCAGAACCGAGCTCTTTCCGGAGGATTGCGATCCGATGACGACAATGGCTGGCAATGTCACGGTATTCGACTGGCCGACTTTGTGGAGAAGGTTCCTGATCTCAATCATCATCTTGGTGATGTGCATCATGTGGTCATCCTTTGCCGCCTCCTCGGGCGTTCGCTCGTCGTCCTCGGCGGACTGATCATAGCCGTACGCAGCAGCGGAGGCCGACGCAGCGCCCACCACACCGACTCTACTCTGTTTTGGCGGTTCGGGTCCTCCTGATCCGCCTGAGCCTGCACCCGAACCCTCTTCTTTTTGAAGGAGGTTGCTCAGCCACTCGGGCATCTCCATCTGCTCTTTTTTGGAGTCCCATCCTCGTTTTGTCTGTTCGGCGATATCGACGGCGCTTCCCCAGAGACCCGAGGCGGTGGTGGTGACAGTGTCCTTCATGTTGCCAAACATCTCGCTGGCCGAGTTGCTGACCTGAATAGCCTGGTACTGGATCCATGCTACACCCCCCACCATCAGACCGCCAAATAGGGCGGGGATGCGGGCAAACTTGACGACAAGCTTAGGAAGGACGCGGGCGAACGAAGCATTTCGGACAATAACAGCATTGTGGTACGCATTGGCGGGAAATCGGCTTGGCTTCCGTACAACACGGCCGATGCCATCGGCACGCTGGATGCCGCCGGTCGGGAACTGATGAAATTGACGAACGGCGCGGACGGCAGCGCGTCGGGCAAGAGGGGACAGCGCCCCGGCGGCGCGGAGCTGTGCGCTCATGATGGGTCAGGAGAGCGTATTCTACGTCGCATGCAAGTCGGGAGGCATTTGCAGGTTGATTTGGGGTGGGAGGTTGTTGGTAAAATGGCGGGCAATGTTTGCGGTTCACGGTGAGGTCAATCGCCAATGCCGCGGTTTCAATCCCTGGTGGTTGGAGGCGAGCAAGGGTCAGGAGCCGCACCCCACCATTGACATGTTATCGTCATCCATCAGGGACCATGAAAGCACGCGCCACACCCAAAGAAGCTAGGAGGGACGAGATGCATAACTATCGAATGCCCAAATCCGAGTTCTATCAGTATCAGCATCCAGCTCGAATTCAAGAGACCCTTTTCTCAAGAACCTACACGAGCGGCGGTCAACAACTGCGGTGTTTGACGTTGAGGTCAAATTTGATAACGATTATGCAGGGCGACACCGCCACCATGCATAACCCTGGGTCGCTGTGTTCAGGGTCGAGACAGGCCTCTTGACTAAAAAGCACTGGTGCCGCCGCAGGTGGCCGGTCTGGAGCTCAAACAAAGAGACCGCCGGAGACTTGGGCACCGTTTGCCGCATGACCTCTGGGACTTTAGGGTGGTTGCTGTTGATGTCAATACGTCTTAGCCTCGACGTGGACTGTTTTTCGGACGATAGCAGGCTGTTTGACGTGAGCCGTGTTTGCGCTAAAAAGCGTAAAATTGGCTAGCTTCCGCCATCGTGAAGGCGGATTCCGTCAGCGCTTCGATCCGCCGCGTCGCTGGGAACTTGCCGGGACTTGCCTCGCGACCTTGGCCCTTATTAGTCGATCGACACCTGTCTGCCAGCACACCAAAGTCAAACATCCGATGCTCGCTTGAGCGTTTGCACCACATTTACCACCGTACAAACAACCGCTGTTCGGACGACAAGACGCCATTCGACCGCATCGCCGATTCCGGCCACTCAGCATGTGTCGGTTCCTGGTACGACCTTACTGAGGGGATGGCGGCGCGTTGGCTGACAAGATGCCGCAGGTCTACAACGGGAGCGACGAGATCCTCCTCTCGAAGCTGATCCTCGATCCCACGCATTCAATCCTCAAGCAGTCATTCGACTCGCGGTTGCGTCTGGTGAGTCAAGCAATCAAATCGGGCGTCCCAGCAACTAACAGATCAGGACACCCGCCGTGGGCAGAACAACGCTGATGGCTTCGGCATTGGCTTCTACACCGAACCTAAACTGGGCGCCGCACCCTGCCTCTTCACCTCGACTACGCCAGCCTGGAACTGCGTCAATCTCCAGCGGCTCGCCTCCAAGACCGCCTCCCGTCTGATCTTCGCCCACGTCCGCGCTACCACTGAGGGTTCCCTGAGCGAGGACAACTGCCACCCCTTCTGCCATGGCAGCTTGATGTGGATGCACAATGGTGGTCTGGGGGGTTGGAAGCAGATCAAGAGACGGTTGGGAGAGCGGCTTGCGGACAAGTGGTACCTGGGTGTGGTTGGAGGCACAGACAGCGAGTGGGCGTTTGCCCTGTTCCTCGACACGCTGGAGCGTATGGGCTACGACCCCAGCTCGCAGCCCGAAGGCGGCTTTGGACCGACCGTTCTGAGGAAGGCCATGCTCAAGACCATTGCCATCATCAACGAGTTGATTGACGGTATCCCCGAGAGCATCGTCCTCGCCGAAAACGTCGACACCCGGAGTCTGCTGAACTTTGCGCTGTCCGACGGCCACACAGTCATCTGCACACGCTACGTGGGCAGCTCCTCCGACGAGGCAGCCAGTCTGTATTACTCTTCGGGTAGCCTGTGGGAAACCCGAATGCCGGACCCCGACAACACCGACTACCAAATGGCTCGCAGCGACAAGGGCGCAGATGTTGTCCTGGTGGCCAGCGAGCCGCTCACCTTTGAGCGAGGTATGTCAACCACCTACTGTTTTTCGACTGAGACTGACAATAGCAGAAAACTGGGTTAATGTCCCAACCAACTCCATCCTCACCATACACAACCAAACCGTCATGGTGCACCCCATTCTCGACCAGTTCTACGATCGTAGCCCACACCACCTCCGCTCCGCCGCTTTTGTCAAGGCTAAGGGCCTTGCAGCCAACGAGAAAGGCTCGGCTGGTCTCGGCACACCCCCGGTTATCAACACGCCTCCCATCAAGGCCGACGGCCCTCCCCAGGCCCAAGCAAAGAAATACGGGCCCCTCATCCCATTCGCAACAGCCACCGCCCGGACGCGCACGTCTGAGACAACAGTGCCCCGTGTCAAGACACCGCTTTCGCACATCGAACCCGCCCCAACAGAGACACACTCGCTCACAGTCCCGCAAGCGTCCAGCCAGAAGCAGGAGCCGGCTCAGGGAAACATCAAGAAGAAAAGGGCCTCACTAACAACGGTGGACCCCTTTTTGGGGGTAAGCGGCTTACACGAAACAAGTCCTGTGACCCCAGAGCCGACAAGGACGGAGTTTGGGAATCCCAATAAGATTGCGCAGTTTTTCCCCGAGCTTAGCATGTCGTGATGGCTTGTTGGTCTCTTGGGAGTTCTTTTCAACTAGGACAGAAGCGGGCGTATGGGCTTCATGGACGGATACCTTGTCTTGATATCACGGTAGCAAAACGGCGTTAAGGGCACGGTACAGCAGGCCGGTGTATGAGCGTGTAAATATGGGATCAAGAGTCAGATTGCTTATTACGTGAATCTAATGGAGTGACACACCTCAGCGTTATCACCCTGCAAGTTGAGACTAACATTGACTCGCATACATATCTCTCAGGCGTCAAAAGTCAGTTCATCGTCGAACAGGAAGGACGTCCCTTTAGATGGGCGGGACTAAGCATCACTTTGCCCCAGTCAACGACGGTCGTTCCAACGGGTGGCCGTGAAAAGGCAAAGGCCACCACGTAATGACAAGTCCAACACTTGATCAAGGTGACAACAGCCAGGCACCTCAACAGGGAGCACCACGCCCTCCCTCACCTCTCCACATTGAAAAAAAAATCACCCCAAGTACAAAGGAAGCAAGATGATCAAAAATGCAAAAATGCAAGCTATGTCGTTTCGACGGGAATTGAGCCCGACGTGGGGGTCGAACCCACAACCTTGAGATGACGGAATACTCCTTAAGAGTCTCACGCTCTACCGATTGAGCTAGCCGGGCAGAAGCCAGCGGGTAGCTTGCTTTGTTGAGGTTCCGGGGCAGAAGGGCAGATTGTATGCGGGACGTGCGGAGGTTTGGACAAAGTTTTTGTGCGGCCCGCTCCTGTGAGTCATGTCGCGGGCTTGGCGGGGAGTGTTGCAACAGTTGCGCCTTTTTTTTGCGATGGGATGGTAGAGAGACGATGCAGGTGGTTCAATTGGTGGTTGTCTCGGGCAAAATGCATTTTTACTTAGGAAGGGACTGAGCTGCTGTGACGCTTGCTGAGGGCGATGGACGTCAGACACCCCCTTTTCGCAGCCTTGTGCAATAAAAACAAACGCCCCTTTCTCAACCCAATACCATCCCCCCTTTTCAACTCAACACCAGGTAGTCGTCAGGGCATTTCTTCACACCATTACAACTATAAACCGATGTATTGCTCACAAAAATGGGTTGAAAACACAAAAAAAAAAACCCAAGATAGTTGACAAGAGTGGGATTCGAACCCACGCCCTTTCGGACTGCGAAGCTGCTGATCAAGCTGTGCTTGGATCAAGAAGCCTGAACACAGCGCCTTAACCGCTCGGCCATCTTGCCTGTCAGTGGTTGATCGCGGCAAAATTGGGACTTATGGCTGGAGTTGCGGGTTGTTGAGGAGTGGCGATGAACATGGGGTGGGTCCTCGGCTCAGGGGTAAACCTAACTTTTACACACACAAGTGGACTCCTTGCCGCCTCGTGGACTCCCCATGCGACTCTTGAGCACAACCTATCTCCACCTCACCATCAAACAAGCGGGTTTAGCTCAGTTGGGAGAGCGTCAGACTGAAGTCAAACTTCGGTAACTCAATCTGAAGGTCATGTGTTCGATCCACATAAACCGCAAACATCATTATTTTGCCGTCCAGCGCCTGGGTTGACAGATTTTTTGCTGGTCCTCCCAGTCACAACCCATGGGCCCCTACCCGTCACATCTCAATATGGCCACTGAAGAGCTGGTCTGACTGAGCATATGCCGTGGTATTGGGTCCCAGAGCGGTGGCTCACTCTTCCTTGTAACTGGAACATGAAATCATCGACGCTTTTGGTCTTCGTTGAGGTCTCTGGACATACATCTCAAGCGCTGCTTAGGCGAGATAAAATAACCCGGGAATGTCACCAACCCTCAAACCGCTACCCCAAATAGCCTGTTCTCCTAATGGTGCCACGGAACAGCTTGAGTAACCTGCTCTGCGCCTCCAACTCTAGCCCATTCCTCTCTATCTGCTCGCCGCTGGTACGCCTGCTTTCTAGCTCAGCTCTGGCCTCACTGGCTAATAGCTCTACCAATCCTCGCGCTGTCTCAAGTGCATTGTTATCATCGGCAGCTCTCGTGTCCTCTCTCGAAGAAGTGTCCTCGGAGACTCTAGAGCCAGTTCCCTCGGAACCCCCTTTTGGTGGTTCGGGTTTCTCCGTCTGAGTGGCAGGGGGCAAATTTGGTTTTGATCCTGTTGGAGGATTTTGGGTGAGGTGCCTTTCCTCTTTCTCTTTTTCTCGGCGCGTCTCGTCACAAGGCCCATCGTAGATATCGTGTGGCGCGGGGCGCAGGTTGTAGATGGTTGGATAGGCGTCGATTACTTGGGGTAGCTTCTTCCAGGGTCCATCATAAATGTGTGGCGATGCTGACTTCAAGTCATATATGGTGTTCTGGCGTGTCCGTTGGACTCCCCCCGAGAGTCGGTGTACTCGGCGTTTAGACAGCCTATCGGGATTCGCTAGAGGCGACGCCCGGACGATATCGAGCCATTGCGTTCTTGTCTTGAGCACGGCAAGCTTATTCATGATTCTGGTGAATACGGGTCCGCGCGGGTGCACTTCCTTGACCTCCTTATCCTCCTGCTCCTTTTGTCTGGGTAAACTCATCTCCCGAATCATGCGTGTGGCTTTGAAGGTGAACAATACTTTATTGTGTGGCGGAATCCTGCGAAGGTGTCGCCAGCCTTCTAGGAGCTGCCCTGGCTTATCTGCTGCGTACTTTGGCGATTTCTCCGGCAAGATGAATCCGGGGTCCTTCCCCGCCATTTGTATATATTCACCAAGTTTTCTGAGCTTCGAATTGCTCATTCTGGCCTGAACAAGGTAAACTTTCGACCGATCCGTGAAGGACATGTCCACAGTCACTTCCCTCGTGGTCACCACCTTCTCGGCCAGCGGTACAGCCCTCCTCGTCGTTTCCCCCCTAGCAGTATCGAAGACGCCGGAAAAAAAAACGCTGCCGCCGGCTAGGTAACCTAAGTTCATCAGATCACCGGGGTGGCGGTTGCAATCGTGGACGACGTGCGCCCCAAGCCTCTTGACGAACGCGATCTTTGTCTCGTCACACGTAGCTTCTATGTGCCCAATCCCTTGTAGCTTCGCAAGTTGGACGGCAAAGATTCCCACCGGAGTGTGGGCGTGGGTAATGAGAATTTTTCTCGAAGCGTTCATGTTGATGGCTTTTTTCCAACCTTCAACGTCGGTGGTATTGGGTCCGCAAACGAGTCCGTACCCAAAGAGCCCGTCGTAGGCGGTGAGAAAGTTGATCGGGTAGGCTGCGGCTTCGTCCCCCATCCCGAGTGGCATGTGACACAGCTCACTAGTGGGAACGATGGAGTAGGAGCGGGCGTTGCCAACACGCACGGTTGAGGTGTACCCGCTTGATGGCAGAGATATCAGCCCGGTATCTGGGAGTTGGGGATGGCGACACGTACTATACATACAAGTCTTCTCCAGGGGCCTTGTGGTGCGATGGTACATTGCCCCAGCCCTTGATGCGACCGGTGAACTCGAAACCAACAATCGGGACTTCGAGCCGCTCCAGCAAGGGAACGTCGAAACTAGTAGCGAATGTCAGGACGCTCCGTAGTTTGCCCAGCACGTAGCTACACACTTATTCGCCGTTGATGTCATGGCCACGGAAGCTATCTCGATCAAATGGGCGTTTCTGCCCCATATCGTGAATGGGGGGAGGAAAATCGGCCCTTTGACCAGTTGAAGTACCTTCCTCTTCTTGTTGTACATGATCTGGTAGACCCAGGGGTTGCGGTTGGGTAGAGGGTTGATCTCGGACTCTTCTTCGTCCTCTTGATCGTCCTCTTCAATCTCGAGCGGTGTGTCATCGGGGGCCGGCCCCTCGGGGTTTGGCGTCGGGCTTGGGTCCATCGTATAGCGGCGATTTCGAAGTCTAGGGGGTGCAATAATTAATGCCTAAATCACGATGGTTTGGCTTGGCTGTCGGTCAGCTGCAGAGGGTGGTATCATGGGAAGGCCAGTCCATCGCTAGGAAAAGGGAAGAGGTGCATCCCGGCCCTCGTTCGCACCTGCCCTCTTCCCACGAGGGAGGATTGCAAGCCAGGCAACCATCCCGCGCTCGGACAGTAGCTTTATTCATTCTCGGTCCAACCTCACAGGAGTGATGCTGGAGAGCTTTCCGGAAACTTCCAAGCCTCACTAGGGCCTTGGGCGTAAAACTCATGGCAAGGGATAGCCCTCTGCTGGTCCTTCCCGAATGCACATTGCATAAATACAAGCTTGGGATGTTATTTGCAGAGCCTCGGGGACAAACCCAAGACCTGTAAAACACTAGTAAATGCCTTGAAACATGGCATACCCTTGCAAAACAAGCGCCAACGCCTATCTACCGAACACCACATCTAGTATACAACACTAGACTGCCGCACAGGAAGGAGTTGCTAATCTAATCGCCGTTCCTCATCATCGTGCCTCGCCAGGAGACTGCCGCTCGCCTCGGCCTCCTTGTTCTCCTCGGGGTATAAGACATAGTGCTGCACAATGAAAATGACGTCGTACATCATGGAGACATTACCAAGTGCGAATTTGACTGGGTTGCCCGTGATGCCAGACCAGTCGCCCTGTAGGTAACTGTCAATAACCTGTTGCGCGATGCTGAGGATGCCGCCAATAAAGTCAAGCAGCATCCCCCAAATGCTCCATCCCACCGTCGACTTGTTGCGATAGTTGACGACCACCTGGGGCGTGTACTTGACCAACGTCACCACGAGCTTGACATAGCTGATCGCGTAAACCACGTCCAACCAGACCCATGCGCTGACAGCATGTTCTGCGCTATCCCGAAAGGGGGACCTAAGAACCACAAGTGTGACAAAGATGACGCCAACAATGCACCCAAAAAATATCCCCAAGACGAGCCGACTTGGCCGGTCCTTTGCGCTTGGTCGGAACCCCCAGGCGCGGCCGTAGAGATATTGGCTCGTCAGGATGATGGATAGCAGCAAGCCGTGGGCAGCAAACGTGATATCGTTGAACTCGACCGTGGGCGTCAACCCCTTGTGGCGCGCCGCGTACTGGGCGCGAATCAACAGGGAGTAGTAGAACGCGAGGTTGGAGACCAAATAGGCGAGGAAGCCTGTGGCGCCCTGTGTCAATACAATCCATGCGTCATGCGCCATGCGCCGGCCCGGCAGTTAAGCATACCTAGACAGTTAATCATGGGGAAGTCGACTGTGGTTCCCGATGTCGACCGCCGGCGGAGGTTGAGCAGAAATTGCGGGTAAAACGAGAGCGACCACGCCAAGAAGTAGACCCAGCCAAACAGGGCTGAGAGGGCCTTGAGAAACCCGACCGAGACCATGACTGCGGTCTGGCCAGGCTGGCTGAAAGTTGGCGCGAGCGACAGAAAGGTCCCGATGCTCTGGATGGGACGCAAAAGCGTGGTGGCAGAATACGTGAAATCGCGTCTTCGATAAGATGGCAGGTGACAGCTGAAGATAACCGGAGCGAACGGTCCGGCCCACCTTGGCGGCAGAAAATATGCTACATAAAATCCAACTGATGCCGCCTCAAGTGGTCTCGACCAGCAGGCGTATTCTCCCAGAGGCATATGAAGGACATCCCCACTGCGTAAATGCAACTTAAAGCCATTTCAACAGCATTAGTGCCTTAGGATCTTGTTGATATGCATCTTTCCCGCGGACTGCCCCGTCGGATTCATCGCAGCGCGGTCTATTTTGTCGCAATCTGCAGGCCCCCGCGATGCACGGCAGGGCTGGATAGGCTTCCAGATCGGATTCATCGAGGCCCTTGTCAAAGCGGGGCGAACAGCTGTTCATTGGGCCGGCCCAGCCGTGCAGGGGTCCCTGCATGCCCGCCATCGCCTGGTGTGACGTCATGAACTGCGCAGACAAGACCCTGAATTGGAGGGGGCCACGTCGAGGCCCAACCATGAAAATGCAAGTGCGCCCGGCTGTGAAGATGGAGGAACGGTCCAGACTCTGGTCAACCTCCCCTCACAATCCCATCCCAGTACAACCGAGATGCCCCTCCGGGCGCAGATACGCACAGCGTGTTTACGCTGTCGCAAAAAGCGAGCAAAAGTGATTCCACTTCAACCGTCTGCCAAAGTTGTGTCCATGGCGCAAAAACTGACGCTATCTTGTCCGGTGCATTAGTGCGACGGCCAGCCAGTCTGTGCAAGATGTAAAGAGGTTGGCGAGCAGTGCGAATATGACCACAACCGCCGCGAGTCCAAAGGCGAGCTTCGCGCCGAGACCGCACGCCTGAAGAAGAGCACAGCCGACAGCGATACCCTGCTCAGGGTAA